TAGAACAACTGTTTTAATTCCTGTCCACATCCGATGGTTATTTTCTTGTACTGATGCGTGTGTGTAATTCCTGGTAACTTTAACATAGGAATTGTGCAGTCAGTTTAGGGAGCTGTAAGAGACTTTTTCTCACCCAAAGCAAGATGGAGGTTTGCTGTATTCATTCAAGCATGAAATCCTGGCTGAGGGATTAAGCCTCTTACACAGATCGCAGTGCCGTTAAATGCCAACGAGGACCGCGTAAGCCACATCTCCGAGTGGAGGAGAGCTTCCCTTTGTTAGTTGTTCAAAATTAGAAATGTAAACAGCTCTCACGGAGTAATTAGTCTGTGTTTGAATTGTGAGAAAGTGATAAAAATAATGAGATGGCGGAGCTCCTAGCGATGTCATACAGCTGTATCTTACAGCCTAACAAAGCCACGACTGCTCTGCTGGCAGGTAAATGTGGGTCGTAGGGCAGAAGTCACACGGGAGGAGAAGTCCCATTGCATGAGGTCACTAACAGCTCTTTGAAAAAAATCCTCTTGCTTACAGTAGGAACGGCATTTTTTTTGAAGTTTCATGGCGAAAACTGCAGTTTGTCATAATTCCACAATGCGCGTGTGTGTCCTCCAAAAACCCAGGTTCGCTGCCAGCAGAAGTTCATGGCTGCAGTGGTGTGAGAGTCCTCACCAGTTGCTCTTCCTTTTCCCCTCCCTAACTCCTAAATGACTGCTTTAGTGAACCCGTGGCTTCATGGTCCCCCTGTAATCTGTCGCTGCCATTTTTGACAGTGACTCACTTAAAGCTGCTTCTAGCCAGCACAAGGTGTTTTGCCCATGTCACTGTCTTGCTAAACAGGTTTCCCTGGAAATTAAATAAATAAAATCTCCACCACTGGTGCTAATTGGTGCCTTTGGCAGGCTGAGCAAGGGCCTGTGAATTGAATGTGTCATGGAGAATTGAATGTGTCAACTCTCTCCCAATGGCTGGGACCTTGAGGTCTTTTTCTGGCACTAAATTTCCTTTGAAAAAAAAAAAAAAAAAAAAAAAAGGGGGAGGGGGGAAGGGGGAAAGAGAGAGAGAAGAAAAACAAGCTGAAATAAGAGATCTTTTCCCTTTTTTTTTCATGAGATGTTGAAGTTGAGCATTGTAGTGTCCACACTGAAGTGTTTGCTTGTCAGATGCCTTGAGAAGTAGGGCTGTTTTCTGCTTGTTGTTTCTCAGGCATCCCATTTGTTGCCATTAGATGCTGAGCAGCACGGAGTGGCAGGTTTTATTCAGTCTGTTCAAGCATCTGGCAGGATAGCCATGAAGTTGTTGCCGATGTCCTTAAGGGACTGTAGGGATCTGCATGATTCATTCAGTATTTTTTTCAAGGTACAAAGAAGAAATGTCTTACGCTGTAGTAAATACTGTTCCAAGTAGAGCACAACCAGCTTAGCAGAGCGCAGGAGATTTGCTGCTTTGGAGGCACTGACTGGCAGCACGAGCTCCTGTGTCTTTGGGCAAGAATACACTAACCCACGTGGAGTTAAACTAGGCTGTATTTCAGGCTGCTGAGGATTGGCAGACTCATGTCCACAAACCAATTCACATTTTAAGTTGCCCTGACTAGAAGGGGAGAAGGTTATCACTGCCGGGCTTTGAGTTATCTGAGTGTCAGAAAAGCCTAGTTGTGGTTCAAGATGCTGTCAAGTTTGTTGGTGATGAAGCTTAGATTATGTGTGCAGGGGGCTGGAGAGGGGAGCGTTGTATTTTTTTGTTTTTCTCTCAGTAGGAATGTACTTTTTCTTTTCCAGCTGGGCAATTTGTTTGTCTTTGGCAATATTACATTTACTTTGGGAAAATGGAGGGAGGAAGGTCTTTCAGCAGGGGACAGCTACTAGTCCTAAAGCACAGATTAGCCATGTCCTTTTACACAGGTGTCTTCCCTTCCAATATTCCTTCAGAAAAGACTGAATTTGATACTTTCTCTTATGTACTGAGCCAAAGAGATTTTACACTGAAGGTATCTTAAATACAGTTTGCATAACATGGCAGCAAGAACCTCTAGAAAGGCTGAGGAATATCATTTCCTTGGGGACCACGTGCTCTATTGCCTTTTCTGTTCTTCTGTGTTTTCTTATTTTCATTTTTGAGTCCAGCCCTGACCTCTGTAGCAGATTCAGATGTCCACAATGAGGTGTCCATGCACTCCTCAAACCACAGCAAACGGGCTCTTGTTGTGGGTTTGGGTTTTTTTAAGAAGATACAAGCCAAATGTATCCAGAGAAAATTTTTTATCCATGTGCATTTTCAGAAGTGTCAGTCTGTGAGCTTAGAAGTCTTCATTTTTGTCAAGGTCTGATAACCTGCCTGAAACATCTGCACATTTCCCATTAAGCTACTGTTTTCTTCCAGCCCTCATTCACAGAGACATTTTTCTATCCTGAGCTATTTCTTCCCAAAAATGACCAGTTAAAGGGTATTTCACAGCATATTCATCTTTCAAGTGCAGTTCTTTCAAGTAGTGCCAAGAATGATAAACCAATAGATTTCAAACTTCTCCTTATCAGAATGAACCCACAGAGCTGAAATCTAAAATGAAACTCTTTGGGCCCGTGGAAAAGGACATGGCAATTGCAAACTTATGATTACAGCTTGATATTTTCCCCTCTGAATCCTCTCTCCTGGTTAAAAAGCTATATATATTAGAAATGTAATAAACCAAATGAAGAAATAAGAGAAGATAGAATTTGGGACTAGCTGGCAGGATAGAAAAATGTTGCACTGTTGTCTCAAAGTTGCACTGTTAGATGTCACAAACTCGGATTTTTTTCCTAGTTTTATTCTGGAGAAAAATAATCCAAATTTTCAGAATTTTCCAGTGAAATGAAAGGTTTCCAAACACTCACAAGAAACACAAACAGGCTGTGGCTGTCTGTAACACACGTCCCTGAGAACAATGTTGCGCTTACTGAAATAATTATTAAACCGTCTCCATTGTAAAGTGTGAAATTTGAAAGAAGCTGTTGGCAGTATGAAAAAATGTTTCTCTCAGCTGTGTTATGTCTGCATTACCTGCCTGCCCATGTGTTGTAGTGCCTGCAAGTGATTTTCTGTGTTAGGGATAAACTCGCTGTATTCCAGCTGGGAATACATGGCCACCTTTCCTTGTTATGGAGGTAATGATTGTTGCTGGTCTGGCTGCAGAGCTGGAGGTAGCATTCCCAGTGCCATGCACAGCTTAAGCCAAGCAAGAGGCAGCAGAGGGGCAGTTCTGGATTCAGCCCTTCCTTCCAAGGACCACCTCTACACAGTCACTTACAATGTTTGTTGTGTTCTGCTTTGTGCACGCCTGTTCCTTGTCTCCTTTGCCATTACGAGGATGCTGCATGGCTGAGCACAAGTGGGCATGGCAGGTGGGTTGGGTTGCTTCACCTTGGCCAGCATTAGGGAGCTGATGCAAACATCATCTTTGCTCACTGCCTAAAGCACAGATTATTTTATCTGTGTCATGTTCCAAGGGAATACCACGGCTTGTGAGCCCTGGTTTCTTTAATTTACTGATTGGTTTTGACGTTTTTCTGGAGTTGTAACAAACCTCTGACTGTGCTTAAGAGAACAGGATTGCTTTCTGATTCATCAGTAAAACCTGCATCGTCTTGTTTGATGCGAAGTAGGTTTTTACTTCAGGAGCCACTTCTGCCTCCCAACCTGCATTCTCCAGCATGTTTTCCTCTCCCCTTAGTAGCTGGGTCACCAAACACCACATCTGCATCCACAAGCTCTGTAGGAGCTTGGGGGTCTCTCCTTGCTGTGATGTGGCTCCAAAGCAGGGACTGCCCATGTCTGTGGGACAAGGGCTGGATTCAGCCCCACCGTATTTCCCCTGTGGACAGAGTAGCAACCAGTTATTCCCTAAGGGTATTCCTGCATCACTGATTTTGCTGTGCTGGGTGGGAGCTTTCCAAGCGTGAATTCTCCTTGTGTCTATACCTGCAATCTTGTGTTATGGACTTAAGTGTGCAAGTGTTGTTCTCAAAGTGGTTTCCCTCCCGCTGGAAATAAAGCTGAAGTCACAAGGTGGGATGCTGTGTCAAACATCCCACTGGCAACAACCACGACCTCCCTCAGTAGGTTCTTTGCATGAATCCCCTGCATGCCCAGGGGCAGACTTCTTTGCTGTGGGACAGCAAGGCAACCCTGGTCCTTGTTGTTTGTCCCATGCATGTCACATTATAGCTCTTCCCTCGTGAGCCCTGACCTCACCCTGGGGGTGGTGTTGAGCTGCCTGGGTTGTGTGTGCTGCAGCAGAAGCTACTTTACATGTTTGCAGTGGAGAAAGTGGCAGCAACCCATCGCACAGACCACCCAGTTGGACCATGCTGTCAAAGGGAAAACCATAGGATTAAGGCAGCTAACCCCACCTTCTTTACTGAGGATTAGGCAGATGCAGGGTGAGCAGAGCCTCCCTTTATGCTGTCAACCATCAGCAGGCTCCACTATCCCACCATGGTGAATTTCTTGTAGCTTACTTTTCATTCTTGCAACTGAGACAAGTGTCCTACCTCCAGTCCTGCGTGGTTTCAAAAAGGAGGGGAACCAACCTGAGCTCTTTTATGTAAGGCCCTTTAAATAAGGTCCTGCTTTAACCTGATTTTCTGCCTGGGATGCAACAATGAATTCCCACTGCTTGAGCTTGCCATGTTGCTTATATTCAAAGTATAATGGGGAGCCTTCAGAAAAATATAACCTTATTTACACTGTACAAAGCCAATTGGATTTTGGTTAACAATTTCTAAGTGATTACAGTTCACTAACAATGTAGGTGTACTATAGATGCAATGCACAGGAGGGGACTTTTTATTTTAAACCATACAAGCTTTCTTTTATTCATGTCGTTCAGGCAGCCTCAGGATAATTCACATTTCCAGCTTTCATATTGTGTTGTTCAACCACTGTTTTTTCTCCCTGCCTATTGTACTCTCACAAATCGTACTCACTAATTTCTGAAAGCTTTTCATTTCTCTCTATAGGTTGTTGTTTCGTAACATTTTATACAAGAAAAGCTGCTCTTGAGGCTCAGAATGCACTGCACAATATTAAAACTTTACCTGGGGTGAGTACATTTACTTTTTGATCCTAATTATTTTATTGCCAGAAAAATAGCCCTTTTGCTCTCTTCGGTGCTGCTTGGTACCCCAAATGCCCTTGATCTCTGCAAGGAGGGTGGCAAACCTGATGGTGTGTCCTGGCATCATTTCCACAGGCAGCTGCTCTTCTGTAGAAAGTCCCTTGGCTGGAAATAGTGCTGATACCTGCTGACTAGAGGCAGTGACCAAAGCGCAATGTAGATTCATTTCTATTTTTTTTTTTACTTAGGGAGGAGGGAGGGGGGGGGTTGAAATATGGCAGAAAACCAGTACACCAACAGGGCTTTAAATTTCAAAAGGGAGAGAAGAGCAAAAGACAAAAAACACCAGCCAACTTTGTTAAACACAGACTTTATCCACATGGTTTCTAACCAGCCTGGATGCATCGGTGTGGTGGCTGCCCATCTCAGGGTGTTGTAGAGCATGGTACCACGTTGCTGCTTGCACAGTGTCATCCTGTTCCCTGCCACCACCTCTCCTCACCACCTGCTCCCACTGATAACTCACACCAGCACTCAAAACAGTCGTGGTTGTGTTGTACAAAGTGTTCCTTGTGTTACCCTGTGGTAGTTTATATTTAAATAACAGGGCTAGAGAGAAGTATATCATTGGTAATTGCATGTCTCAACTCTGAAATCTTCTTGTTCCACTCTTTTCATTTTTCCTGCTGAATATAGCCAAATATTTTGAGGATGGAAAAGAAAAAAATATAAAGAGTGCAGGTTTATTCCTTCTTGATGTAGGAGAAATGTTGAAGTATATGTTTGAAGTGTCTGGTTACAGACATGAAAATAAATAAATACACTATATAAATGAAGAGAGCACTGACTGGACTGAACATTATGTGACCCATATCTCCTTTAGTTCTTATGTGCTATATGTGAAATTGGACACTATATGTTTGAAAAATTCACATCTGGCCAGCTCATTTTATGTAACTCCTATTAGGAAAGCCACCTCATCTGTCATGGAAATGACCAGTGTAGAGAAGTATGTGGGACAGTTACCTGTGAATCCTGCTAATTCACCAAGGCAAAATTGGAGTCCTCTGTCATTTACAAGTGTAAATGCTAGAAGTGGTGGTAGGAAATCTGCAGAGGTTGGCCAGCCACAGGAAAACAGGAGAAAAATTGCAGCACTTGAGATTTAAGTGATGTTTTCCAGGAACTGGCTCTCAAAAGGGGCAGTGTCGAGACCTTAAAAGCCTCCCAGTAGCAGGCTCGGCATTAAGGTTGTACAGGAGGGATCTGTCATCCTCAGAGAGAAATGAGGGCTCTGAGAGATGATTTCCTTGTTGGTTCCCATCCCCACTGCCAGAAAAAGCCGAGCCCTTGGACGAGTGCTCTAACCCAATTCAGCTAATGTTGCACTTACACCAGCTCACTGAGCAATTGCTCTCCAGCATGCTTAGAGTCAAATGGCTGTGCAGACTGGATGGACACTCTAGTGGAGGTGGTCCTGAGCTGCTGGAGCAGCACCCTGCCCAGACAGCATCCCTGAAGCTCCGCCACAAGATCTACACGTCGCTTCTCTTAGAAACAGAGAGGGTCCTTTTAGAAACGTAGAATCATTAGGGTTGGAAAAGACCTCCAAGATCATTGAGTCCAGTCTTTGGGCCAGCACCACCATATCAACTAGACCATGGCACTGAGAGCCACGTCCAGTTGTTTTTTGAACTCTTCCAGCCATGGTGACTCCACTACTTCCCTGAGCAGCCTGTTCCAATGCTTGACCACCTTTTCAGTGAAGTTCTTCATAATGTCCAATCTGAGCCTTCCCTAGCACAGCTCAAGGCCATTTCTTCTTGTCCTGTCACTGGTTGCCTGGGAGAAGAGCCTGACCCCTACCTGGCTACAACCTCCTTTTCAGGTAGTTGTAGAGAGCGTTAAAATCTCTCCTGAGCCTTTTTTCTCCAGGCTAAATAACCCCAGCTACCTCAGCCACTTTTCTTTGCTCCTCTGTTATTCCCTGAGCCCCTCAAGCTGGTTGCTGTGTTTTGAGAGATCTTGGTTATCCCAGTAGGTGTCTGGGAGAGGCAGACTCCTTCTCAGACTTCTACACATTCGGATGACAAAGCTGGCTCAGCTCTGCGTTACTTGAGCAGGGCATCATTTTCTCCCCCATTTTTGCACAGCTAATGAGCAGGCAGCAGTTAGAGACACTACTGTACCATTTGATTTTTTTTTTTATTATTTCAAAAATAATGTTTCTAAAGCTCTCTCTAGTTCTTTGTCTTTCCAAGCTGTGTTTTTATGTCCTGACTGTGAGGTTACAAACTTTTCTTTAAAGGAAATGTGGAAATTGCATCCCTATGACTGTAGAACCAGAGATGTTTAGATTTGACTTCGAGATAAGGTGTTATACCTACTTTTAAGTGGACACCTCTAAAAAAGAGAAGCAACTTGAATACAGATCTACTACTTGTCTTTCAGGATGATTCAGCATATATTATATAACAGATTCTATATTTTGCACGTGCAGTATGCTGGCATTCAGCATATATGGAGATACTGTTATACTGCATCTGTGTATGCCCAAAATAACTTCATTTAAGCATGCTTTAAAGTTGTGGCACACGTGCTGAAAACACTTCACGTTAGCAGGATTCTCCGTATATGAATTTTAGCAGTTTCTGTATTGTTGCTCTTGCCTGCTAAGCAGCTTTTACTGAACAAGCAGGAATTGGTAGTGGATAGGTCCATGTGTGAAATAATCTCAGAGCAAATGGAAGCAATCTTCTGGCAGAGCTGCAACAAGGGATGAATTTGGATCAGGTTCATTTGGGCATCAAGTGTCAGCTTGCTTCCAGTAAACGAGGTATGGTCGGCAGGAGGTTCAGTAATAAGGTATCTCCTGGAAACAGAAGAATCTGTGCCTTTCACTTGTGCTGTAATACCACCATGCATCAGATAAGGCATCCTTAAATAGCCCAGGAAGAAAATCCAAGGCAAAGGCAGGTGATTTATTAGTGTAAGGTAAGGAAAGCTGGCAGAGGCAGGAGCAGGGGGCTGTAGGGATGCTGTGGCGCTTGGAACTCATCTGTGTTTTACCTGCACTCAGGTGTAACCTGTGCTGCTGCAGAGGCGTGGAGAAGAATACCTCTGTCTTCATTAAATGAATGAGCCTAGATTATTTTGGGGGTTAGTCCCTTCATTTCTTAAATGCAGACTTGCTCCGTGTGTCTCAGTTAAGGAGGTTTTGGATCAGCACCAGTGGAGCCAAAAAAGTGGAGTTTTTAGTGTGAAATTCATTCCCCTTCCAAGACTGCATGTTCAGTTTAATTTAAGTAGGTATTTGAGCAAAGCCTGCAGTGCTCTGTCTCTATCTCTGCTTTTTGCCTGGACCTCATCTTTAACAGAGACACGAGCGCTTGATCTGCTCCTTTGAGCTGCATCCTTTTAGTGGACATGAAGAAAATAAGACCAGATATAAATGATTAATGCAGGATCTTGGAAGAAAATATTGCAGGGTGCCTTGCTGTTTGATTACAAGCCTTGGAATTAGTCAACATTTCCATAATTCTAAACCAATATACACCTGTTTTCCCACTGTGATGTGAAGGCACAACTTAATTTAACAGAAACCCTGCTGTGCTAAATCTCTCATTAAATACCAAGCTAGTTCTGTAATTTAAAGTTGCAGCACTACTATTTTAACTGAATTGCCTTTGTATTATAAAATTAATAAGAAGTTAATGATGCACTTTGCTGTATTCTCTCAGATATTTTTTTTTTTCACAGCAACAACAACAAAAAAGAAAGATAAAGAGGAAAAACATGTCACCAGCTGACATCTCAAGGCTTTTCTGGTTTTAATCATTTTCCTGAGGATAGAAATTCGTTTAAAAGATTTTTTTTTTAAATTTTAAAAAACTTTCTGCACAAGTAGGATCAAACATCATCTTTCTTACTCATGATTAGTATAATCTCTCTGTTAGTCATAATATTCCTTGTCATATAATGGAGCTTTTATCTTCCCCGAAAAATGCGTTAAGATATCAGTTGTTATGTAGGATTGCTACTAGGCAGAGTAGAAATGCAGTCTTTGAGAAATACAGGCATGTTGTTATATATGAATCAGATCAACGAAACAGGGACAGTTCTCTTCTGTTTACTTGGTGCTGGAATCACAAGTAGCTTTTATGTCTTGTAAATGAACAACGTGACTTTTCAGATGTGTTGTTTCAAATAAAACGTGGGAAGCACACAGCTGATACCCTCATAGCTCATATGGATGCAGTTTGTATTATTCAGCTTATAGTCGGGTTTTCTTGGAGTGTTCATCTGGATTTTGTTTTAAAAGGCAGAAGGGAGAAAAGGCAAAACCTCAATTTGAATGTGATAATGATCTTAGAAATGTGCTTCTTCGGGCTGAGATGTAGAACTGAGGCCTTAACTAGTCTCATCTTCATTAAGAATCTCATGGCTTCGTTAGAGGTGTTTAACTTCTATTCCCTAAACAGAGTAATCCAATAAATTCCACCCATCTGAATTTATTCTGTACCTTCCATTAGATGTAATAATCTCAGTTCCCACATGCTCTAATTTGCTACTTAGTGAAAATTGGCTTCTATACAGAGGGCAAACCTCAAAGAGCCTTATGTAGGGACTACTTTAACTGCCTTCATGGCACCGACATTTCTTCTTTGTTTTGGTTTTAACACACTCTATTTTAAAAACAGAATGTGTTCTGGTTTGCTAAGTAGTGAATCTGATAGGATTTTCTGGCAAGAGTTAAGTGCAGATAGGTAACATGAGCAGTATATGTTGGTTGGATGTTTGGAGCCAAATAACTGAATAAATGCACCTTTAATCTCATGCAGAGGCTGTTTGAGGTCTGGAATCAATGGGCATCCATTTGTAAAATCTACATCTAAAACTCTTTGGAGTCTTTGCTCTGTAGTTGAAATTAGATTGACTGGACATGACAACAATTGTTTGTTGCCCTTATGTACATATTTTGATAT